GGGAGATGTTGGGCAGGAGATGAAGGACTGGGAGATGAAGGACTGGGAGATGTAGGACAGGGAGCTGAAGGACTGGGAGCTGAAGGACTGGGAGATGTAGGACAGGGAGCTGAAGGACCGAGAGACAGTGGTCAGGGAGATGATGGACAGGGAGATGAAGGAGCAGGAGATGGTGGACAGGGAAATGATGGACAGGGAGATGATGGACAGGGAGTTGAAGGACTGGGAGATGGAGGACAGGGGGACAGAGGGCCGGGAAATGCTGGGCAGGGGGACAGAGGGCTGGGAAATGCTGGGCAGGGGGACAGAGGGCTGGGAAGTGCTGGGCAGTGCTGGAGCGGGAGCCAGGCGGGTGGGGAGCGCTGGACCCCGCAGAGCATCCCCGGCAGCACCCCGGGGCCCTTCCCAGCGCTCCCCTGCAGCAGGGGGTTCGGCACAACCAGCGTATGGGGAAAAAAGTCCCTTTTTCTACTGGCTGTCGCGCTTTCATCTGGAGACACGGGGATTTAAATCCCTTCAAAATCCGAGGGGAAGCTAATTCCCTGAGACCGGGACAGACAGAGGTGCCTCTTCTGCAGGTGCTGATGGATGGATTCCCCCCTCGACACCCACCCTAGCAGTATGAAAACTGTACATAAAGCAAGTAACATTTCCATAAATAGCAAATAATAGTTCCCTGGCCTCAAAACTGGAACAGAAAGCTCCTCCTGCAGCTCGCCAGGAACCAGTGACAAGCTGTGAGTGATTCCTAACTTTGCTGCTAATCTGCAGGACTAAACGACCGCAGGACCCCGTGCCGAGAGCCGGGGCTGCCCCACGCCGCGTCCCCCCCGCGCGACCTGGGGCCGGTTCCTCTGTGCTGCCCCGAGTTACTCATTAACCCCAACAGGGAGCGAGGCAGAAAATGGACGTTTCTGCTCCCCAGGCTGAAGGAAACGCTCCGACAAGGGCAAACCCTGCTAACCATCAAGATTAACGTTATTATGAACATGTTGGTTGGGCTTGGCGTGATAAAGGAGAATGCCCAACAGAGGGTGACGCTGTCATCTTCCTAAAATCTGCCCCAAACCTCCCGATACATTCATTTCGAGCTGGATGTGGGATGCCTCGCTCCATGGGTTAATCATCAGCTCCTTCAGGTCACTTCCATCCTAAGCCAGGCCGTCCCCCAGTCCCTGCTGCCGGAACGGTCCGGGTCTTTGCTCAGAACTCTGATTTTCTGGTGTAAACCTGCATTTGGCTTCTAGTGTGGCAAATTAACACTTTATTGCCCCTGTTGCCCAACTAATGAAAAGGAAAAGCTGCCTCCTGGACGTTTCACCCGGTCGTGTTTGATTTCGGCCGGAGTCCCAAATCCCTGACCCCTCCGGACCTCGCCCGGGCGGTCTCGCTGCCAGCGTGGTCCCGCGGTCACTGTCCCGGTGTGGCTCTGAAATCCAGACCCTCCGCTCTGCCCGCTAATTAAAGGAAAAAGCAGCCAGGGTTCTGGCCACGTGGCTGCCCCTCGCGAGTCGGCCCGGTGCAGGCACTGCTCTTTCTTGGGGGGAGAAAAAAACCAGGGGCGGAGAACGAAAACAGAGCCTGCAGACAGTGTTTCGGTGCTGAGTTCCCTGGTGAGATGCCGCAGCCTGGGAGACCTCCCAAGCGCTCGTCCCCGCCGTGCCGTCCATCACTCGAAAGCAGCTCCCAGTGCCGGCTCCGGCCGGGCTGCTGGCCGCCCGCCTCGGACGGGGGAGAAACTGGGGCCAGCGGGAGCTGCCGGCTTCCAGTCTCCCCCAGTGATCCGGGGAAAAGGAAAGCAAGA